TCGTGGGTATCCATTCAGGAGCAGACAGTATGAAAATTAGACAGCGTCAAATGTCTCGGAGGAGGAGGAGGAGTAGGTTTTCGTTCGACTAAATAAGCTGTCTAAAGGGGTCCATGTTTGGGAGAGAGAGAGCTAGGTAGACTTCGCACTAATTTGAGGGTATCTTGTGTGTACAACTAGATTACCCACAGACCTTGTCTTTTACGAGTGGAGTTTCACCATCATCACCAAATTTCCAAATTGAGCAAAACTATTTTGCTCTGACACTGAGGACACAATCTATTCTCAACGTAGTTTCTCGTACTTGGTGCCCAAGGAAATTTTTATGTCATGACAGCAGGGCTGACCACGAAAGTATCTAACCTCATTGGCTTTTTTGCGCGTTCGCTCTCGTTGGTGGGTCTACCTGGCACCCGAACCCGGCATTTGTTTTTCGCCCATCGAAATTTCTCATTCAGTACTGAACACCTCTGTCTGGGTAGGGCTAGTAATGGCCAGCCCAGTCCCAGTCGATATTCCTTATCCGTGTACTGTACTGATCGCTGTGCGCGAGTGTCACCAGCAAAGTGACGAGCAACCAAGGCACAACGGGACGCCTGAGTTATGTAACCGAACTGTGAGCGCCTATTTATCCATTGTGCATACTCTCACTTAAAATCGGCAAGGCAACGAGCCGGTGGCGCAGTTGTGAGGCTTTTTGACTTCTAGCCAAGCAGTCGCGAATTCGAGCCTCGGGGCCGCCACCCCTGGGATTGGGTATGGCTGGCTGATGATGGCTACTATGCCAGAAATGGCCACATTCCAGTTTCCCGCTTGTCCTTGTCGGTAATGCATTTCTGACTATAATATGCTAGCGGGGCTGGACACCGAGCTAAGGCAAAACGGGACAAATTAGTCCTGTACCACGTCAGTGAACGCCCATGTACCATCTTGTATATTACGGTCATTACCGACAAGGACAAAGGAGACTGAAATGCAGCCATTTCGAGCTTGTAAATCACCATCGTTACGCAGCCACGCCCAACTGCAGAATGGGCAACCCCTGAGTCTCGAATCCGCGATTGCTGTGGAAATTCTAGGTTCGGCCTAGCGAATAGGTTGGTCGTACTAGTATTGTTATTATTATCGAACAAACATAAAATACCACTTCCAATTACTTTTTACGAAATAGGCCGTAAGTTCATTTTTGCAGTCGTCAAGGTAATCACCAACGCCGGACTGGTACTCGGATGGGGACTCTATCTATCGACGTTTTGATCTAGCGTCGGCATACAGACCCCTGTGCAGTTGTCTCCATACTTTCGTCATTGATTCGCAGCCCCTTTCTGTATTGCCGCCCGAGTTCGATAATCTAGAATAGTTACCGTGTTCAACCAAAGTCAGCCTATCTAGCTTACTAGCCTGCTTACGCCCAACATGCGGAACAACCTACATTACATAGCTCCGCACATGCTCGGGGGGGTGAGCAGGCAAGCAGGTAGTTTAGAAAAAGTACCAGAGAGAAGGCGTAATTCGCTTGCAATTACATCCCACAGCGTTGGCTGCTGACCTCAAATTTCGATGAAATTTGTAACATGTGATGAATCAAGTTCACGCCAGTACTTCAGCCACGAGGTGAAATATGACGAGACCGTCGAACTCTGGCGATTGTCCTGAGCGTTCTCTTTTATGTTTACTGTGTGTAACAGTACAGCCACCCACTCCGCACCCCACCGCCAAAGTGCTTTCCCACTGTGTTTCTACTTCACCTCTATTTTCTTCGCTCGCCCCCTCTCCCCCAGATGGATCAAGTTCGAGGAAGAGGTGGAAGAGTATGCGGATCGGTGGTCCAAGCCGCACGTTGCCGTCCAGTCTTTGATGTCTGTTTTCGAGGTCCGCAGCTGCCTTGCCAAGGCTGTTATGCTACTCGACCTGGAGGCAACAACACTGGAGTCCATTACAGGTGAGTCTTGCTGTCTGCGGCCTGAGAGGTTGGGCCGTTTAAAGCCCCTCCCAGTAATGCCCTGTTTCTTTGCAGTAGAAATCTAAAAAAATGACGGTTTCTATCTTGCTGCATAAATCATCTGTCGTTTTTCTATTCCAACGATCCAGTACGATGTAAGCCAGCCTTTTGCAGGCCTGAACGGTCTTTCCAATTGCTTCCAGAATTTTGGAAAGCATTGGACCCTTTTTTATGTTTCCGGTTGCCTAGGCTGCCGTCTCGTAGTCCCTAAGAAATGCGTTCCCTAGAACGGCAGCTACTACTATTGTTAGTGATTATGGTATATGACACGGACACTTCAAACTAAGCGATGCGCAATTCCCCGTCCCTGCACCACTACGATCCTGTGGAGCACACAGTGGACTTCGTCGGATGCAACGATCGAATGGTCGTTTGGATAAGGAAGCATCGATAGTTACCTTTCCGGGTATTATACTCAGGGATGGGTGTTCCTATTCTCTTGTCCGGTAATATCTGTAGTAATTCTTACTAGTTTCTGTGATTTCAGAGCGACTGAAGTTGCTTAGCAGATTGATGCATTGCTTTTTGCTGTAACAGTTGCGGAAGCGTGATTGTACTGCGCACAGATAAGTGAGGGAAGGCAAAAAGTGTGTGTGGTAGATGCAGCACAAATCTACTAC